TTTACTTCTAGAGATTCAAAAATATCCTTTTATTACTCCTTTGGAAAAAATATAGTCATAACAGTTATAATTATATGCACACTAGAGACTAAATTTGAGAAGCCGTTCTGGAATTTGATTGAGAAGTCATGATCAGAGACGTTCAACTATGTCGAGTAAGAGTCAATTATCTATCAAGAACAGATGAACATCACCGCGCAATATTACGAAACGATTAAAGTTAAACATGTACGCAACTGGATGTCGGCTCAATAGTCTCTAGTTTGACAGTTCACATGTAAGACCTGTATGTTCTGTATCCGACTACAGTTAATGTGATGGGTGATGCCTTGATGAGGAATCTCATGTTGGAGACAAACATCTATCCATTAGTTTCGGCTTCTTTGTGATTTTCTAATTAGTATCAGTCTTTGATAGTAACTTAAAAATAATAAAGTACATTAATTTTCTTTGAAATATCTCTTCAACAATCATGTCAATAAATTTTTCTGATTTTAAATCATTTTTGATCATGTAAGTAAATCTATTTGTATGTATGTATAACTGAATGTGTATTCTATATTATTTATGTAGGTGTATTTCTATTGTGATTGATATGTACTCAAATGTTAAATATACTACAATCATGTATGTATGAAGGTATTTCTGCATCACTATAGTATGTTTATTTATCTATCTGTGTAGTGTATACTTGGAAGCATGCAGATATGAAAGAATATACGTTTGGCTATTATTCTACCAGTTCACCTATAAAGCCGTTCTTGATTTAAATCCGTTTTATTATTGCGTAAGTTGGTTGTTGTTTATACAAGTAAACTTAAGTTCACTAAAGAATTAACTTAAATCTAAATCCACCATTTGCAGTCTTGTAAATAAACAAATTCTCAATTGGTATTTCTTTTCATTAATCGATCAGATTATTTGAACATATTGATTATCGTGGTAATAATTATTTCTAGTTTTATCTTAGTGGAAAGTATCAGTTAGTCAATTATTAATAAATATCTTATTCTTCCTTTAACAACCTAGTAAAATCTATATAGAATCTTGTTTTAAATCATCAGAAAAATTTCTGATATCATATCTACTGGAAGTAAATAATTCCAATGTTACTTTACATGTCAATCTAAACCTTCTAAATAGACTTCGTATCCTTTATATCAACCGGCTGCTAAATATTAAATAACAAATCTATTAAAAACCTGGAAGCACTGGACGGCCTTTTCGTCCTGGTATGGGACTCCTCAGGAGTGCGCATCCACGACTCCTACACCCCGCAGGATTCGAACCTAGGACATCCGGTATTGTAGGCGAACGTCTAACCATCGGAACACTGAGCCGGTATCTAACGGTGTTAACGTCTATCTTGATCAGATTCACGGAGTTGTGCAACCTCATACACAGTCTTCGGTAGACACTGCCTACACCCGAACAGGTTGAACTTCACTGGTCACGTCTTCCCACTAGAACTCGGAGAAGATTCCTCAGGAAGCTAGTGACTAGTGAGCACAGGTAATTTGCATTACGGGGTTGTTGTGAAGATTGTTAAGCTACACATTTTTTGGCGTTCGCCTACGATACCGAAGGTCCTGAGTTCGAATCCTTCGGGGTGCAGGAGTCCCATACCAGGACGAAACGGCCGTCCAGTGCTTCCAGATTTCTAATGGTGGTCTAACATTGATCGATTCATGGTTTCAAAAATTTATTTATTTATCCATTTGAATTCGTGAACATTCGTTCAAAGCAGTGCCTAAATATTCATGCGCCAGACAAATTGTAAAATTTGTCAGTCGGTTAGGATAATGCCCCACTCCACAAACTGTACCAGGTGGTTTCCTAAAGAGGCTAATCCTTGTGCATTTCATATACATGTCTAATCTACTAAAGTGAAGAAACTTAAAGAGATGTAGCCATATGGTGGCTCGTTCATTAGCCATTTTTTCACTCAGGATCTTAAAGACTATGCGCATCAAGATTTTTCGACCCCCCGCCCTTGGTGAATCCTTCATATCAACCAATCTAGCCAGAGCTCCAGATGTTTACTTTTCATCCTATCGTTTTCGTGAACAAAACCTTCGAATCGAGAAAGCGGTAAGTAGAACTTTTCTGATAATGGCTATAGACACATAGCCACCAAGTCTTTCGGAAAAAACCATTAACTTCTAGAGATTCAAAAATATCCTTTTATTATCCCTTTGAAAGAAATATAGTAATAGCATTTATAATCACATGCACACTAGAGACCAAGTTCGAGAAGCCGTTCTGGAATTTGATTGAGAAGTCATGACCAGAAACGTTCAACTATGTCGAGTCTCAGTCAATTATCTATCAAGGATAGAGGAATTATCGTTGCACAATATCATGAAATATCTGAAGTTAAACGTGTACACAACTGGATGCATGCTTAGTGATCTCAAGTTTCACAGTTCACATGCGAGACCTGTATGTTCTGTGTTTGACTGCAGTTAATGTGATGGGTGATGCCTTGATGAGGAGTCTCATGTTGGATATAAACATCTATCCATTAGTTTCGGCTTCTTCGTGATTTTCTAATTAGTATCAGTCTTTGATAGTAACTTAAAAATAATAAAGTACATTAATTTTCTTTGAAATATCTCTTCAACAATCATGTCAATAAATTTTTCTGATTCTAAATCATTTTTGATCATGTTAATCTATTTGTATGTATGTGTAACTGAATGTGTATTCTATATTATTTATGTAGGTGTATTTCTATTGTGATTGATATTTACTCAAATGTTAAATATGCTACAATCATGTATGTATGAAGGTATTTTCGCGTCACAATAGTATGTTTATATATCTTTCTAGTGTATACTTGGAAGCATGCAGATATGAAAGTATATACGTGTATCTACTATTCACCAGTTCACCTATAAAGCCCTTCTTGATTTAAATCCGTTTCATTATGGCGTAAGTTGGTTGTTGTTTATACAAGTAAACCTAAGTTCACTAAAGACTTAATTCAAATCTAAATTTATAGTTTTATCTTAGTGAAAAGTATCAGTTAGTCAATTATTAATAAACACATAATGGAAAAGTTATATCATAAAAGTCAATTTTAGAGTTGTTTTAGAAGTGAATAATTCCGAATGTTACTTTACATGTCAATCTAAACCTGTAGTGCGCGCTACTTATAAGTAGTATATGACGCGTGTGTAAACGTAATGTCTGGCAGCAGAAGATGAGGGAAGATCAAGAAAGGAAGAAGAGTGGGAACACAATGGAATTTGTATGAAACGCATGAATAGTGAGTGAAATGTCAGACAATGGATTGATGATGGATTGAAGATGTGCAAATTAACGGTTACAATATGGTTTTCTTATTTTACTGAGTAACTCTGTAATTTTCGTTAAATACATTCCGGTTGCCCCACCTTTGTTCTCGTTCACTACAAACCTTCTAAATCGACTTCGTATCCTTTATATCAACCGCCTAAATATTGATTAACAAATCGATTAAAGTGAAGTTTCCAATATCGTCACTTGTGAAAGACAATTTCAATAAAGTTAAGGTATTTTTAGAATGTCTTTACAGTAAGAATTTACTTTTGTCGGCAGAACTTTTTTTAAGTTGAATTCCAGACAGGTTCTTGAAAGTTGTTTATCATCAATACGCATAGGTTTCGCTATTTATATCCTCTCCTGAACATAACAATTTTTTTTATAAAACTATGCAATAAAGTACCGACAAGTTCATCTAAACAGTTAGTCTAGACGCGGTTGATAAACTAGTATAGCACTAAGTATACAACAAATAACTTTTCTATTGTGTAGTTAATGACCTTGTCAATGATAGACTTAACTACTACCTCTACAAGTTAATTGTTAACTTTCAAAATTGTCTGTGACACTAAAACTAAATTTAATATGTTATACTTTACCTTTGTTCTTTGGATTTAACATTATTTAAGAGGAAGTGTAGTGATAATTAGGTTTCGTGTTGGCGTACCTGAATGATATGTTTTCGGAGTTATTTAGCTTCCGACAAGCTCATGATATTTACGTATTAATGACTTAAATTTATTAGATATTGTCCAAATAGGACATACTTATATCCTAATTAATTAATATGGCTAGTAATCAATATATTTAGAACCATTCATGTGTATGTTATTCTCAAGATTTTTTGATATTACCTAGTTCAATTTGAATTCAATCCATACTTTATGATGAATCATCATAAAATTTATTCTAAAATGAGCCTTAAAAAAATGGAATCCAGTTACACGATATGTGATAAATGCTGATTGGTAGAACTGAATATTACGGTGGCTGTTGAGAAGATTTCGACAAGATTAATTATGGAAAAGAGGCAGACATCAAAATGATCAACAGCACTTGAGCTCAACATGATAGAAGAGCCGAGGACAAAGTAGGAGAGCTCTGATCGATTACCTATGCTCGATAACAGTTAAAAGGCGTATTTAAATAATTAGCAGAGTAGTGATTTAGGAAATATGACATGATTTCATTTTGTCACATTTAAATTTTCATCTTTACTAGTCAGAAAATCATTGTACGTCACAACTTGATTTTAAACCAGCTCACAAAATGTAAATCTATTCTTATCCCTCCTGAATCCCTTCTAAGATTACTATGGATGCCAAGCATAGACATAAGAACAGGGTTAGGCACGGGGTTGGTAAGCTTATATGGTAGAATAAAACCCATCTTAGGAAAACGCTAACGCCACGCAAAATAGATCCGAAGGATTAGTGCTTCATCATAACGTATTAGTGTATAAATTTCACTTTCTTTTTTCTTATCAAAGACAACTAACAATAGTATGCACATCAAATTAACAATCACTCAAAATCTCTAACTTATTCAGCTCGAATTTATGCGTACTTCATACCCTACTTGATTTAATAAAACTCATAAAGCACAAAAGAAATAGAAAACATGTAGTGAAGCGTGTCAAAGATAAGTTTATTTCAGGTTTATATTGCACAATAAAATATTACATAGTTAGTTGATTTATGATATGATTTAGAAGCATTTACGATGAACAATACCAGGACCAGATTCATCATATTCTTGCTTGGAAATCCACATCTGTTGGAAAGTAGACAATGAAGCCAAAATTGAACCACCAATCCAAACTGAATATTTACGTTCAGGTGGAGCAACTATCTTAATTTTCATTGTACTCGGTGCCAATGCAGTAATCTCTTTCTGCATACGATCAGCAATACCTGGGAACATTGTTGTACCACCTGACAATACAGTGTTCGCATACAAATCTTTACGAATGTCAACATCACATTTCATGATTGAGTTGAATGTGGTCTCATGAACACCAGCAGATTCCATACCCAAGAAGCTTGGTTGGAACAATGCTTCAGGACAACGGAATCGCTCGTTACCAATGGTGATCACCTGACCATCAGGTAATTCGTAGCTCTTCTCCAAAGAGGAGCTGGATGCAGCAGTAGCCATTTCCTGTTCGAAGTCCAAAGCTACATAACACAATTTCTCCTTGATGTCACGCACGATTTCTCGCTCAGCTGTTGTAGTGAAGCTGTAACCACGTTCCGTCAAGATCTTCATCAGGTAGTCAGTCAAATCACGACCAGCCAGATCTAGACGCAGGATAGCATGTGGTAGGGCATAACCTTCATAGATTGGCACAGTGTGTGTGACACCATCACCAGAGTCCAACACAATACCAGTTGTACGACCGGATGCGTACAATGATAACACAGCTTGGATACCGACATACATGGCTGGAGTGTTGAATGTCTCGAACATGATTTGGGTCATCTTCTCACGATTAGCTTTCGGATTCAATGGAGCTTCAGTCAACAGTACGGGATGTTCTTCTGGGGCAACACGCAACTCGTTGTAGAAGGTGTGATGCCAGATCTTCTCCATGTCATCCCAGTTAGTCACGATACCGTGTTCAATTGGATACTTCAATGTGAGGATACCACGTTTCGATTGTGCTTCATCACCAACGTAGCTGTCTTTTTGACCCATACCAACCATCACACCCTGAAAGATGAGGAAAGAAAAGGGAATGCAAATGACACTTCATAACATTTTATATTCAAATACAATAGGTATATACTATCTGCAGAAATGATAGCAACATATGCTTAGAATGATTGTGACAAGCCCTTCACAATGAAGTAACATCTATAGATATCTGAATTTGTTTTTACTGTGTTGTACATATCACAAATATTCTAAACCGAGATGATGGTGAATTTAGTCACTTCAACTTGTAATGACACGATTTTAATGTGATAATAAGTTAGTATGTTAAAAGAACGGGGTAATAAATATACTTACTTGATGTCTTGGTCGTCCAACAATAGAAGGAAATACTGCTCTTGGTGCATCATCACCAGCGAATCCAGCTTTACACATACCCGATCCATTATCAACAACAAGAGCTTGAACTTCTTCGTCGGCCATAATTAATTAACTTTTAAATTCACTTGCCACGTAAATGAACAAAAATTCGTTATGATAAATTCACTATAAACCGGCTACAATTTATTCGTTTTTATTTTTTAACCTCATATCCATTTATGGTCATTGAGGCCGTGTGCTACTAGTGAAGTGATTTTATTGGTTCATAACCAAACTTTATTATTTTTTTTTACCATTGATAAATATGATAAGTTCCTGTGAATTTGTGCGTATGTGTGTGTGTTCGCGCTTGCGTAGTCTGTTCCTTTTTGGTCAAATTCATTTCGGTTAGTATTCATTCACATAGACTATTTTTTGTGCCCTTTTGTATTGATTATTTGTTGTACATAATTTGAAAAATAGGCAAACAATTAAATGCATCTATCCATATATGCACAGATTATGGTAAAATAGTTTTCCTTATAGTAGAATTCAAGTATCAAAATAGGCTATTCGTCTTATTTAAAGGTCAAAGGTTTTTTAGAAATAATTCCAAAGAATAAAGAGTAAATATATTGAAAAAATTTTTACAAAATGTAATAACAATTCAAACAAATACTTTTATTCATTCTGTATTCTGCATAAACTGACATAATCACGTACATATTATCATGATGATGATGAATAATCCTTAGGAATTTTTAAATGTGAATCATTTTATGTTAGATTCTATGTTACATTTGTAGATGAATAAAAAAATGATAAGAATGACTTAATTGTGAATTGAATTACAAGCCTACACTTTTTATTTTTTTCACATAGCATAAACCTTGGTAAAGTGAAGTTTTAACAATAACACATTATGATTTTTCAGTATAGACTTATGGGAATCGTTGTTTTACATTGATATCGTGAATCAATCATCGTTAGACCGCCATAAGAAACTTGAGAGCACTGGATGGCTGCTTCGTTCTAGTAGGGGACTCATCAGCGGTGTGCATCCACAACTCATGCTACTTGCAGCAGTCGAACGCTTAACTTGTAAACTGCTGAGTCAACACTCGAAGGTATTATTGCATTGCGGTGTTGTTGTGAAGACTGTTAAGTTTTATTTGTAACCATGAATCGATCAATGTTAGACCACTATTAAAAACCTGGAAGCACTGAAAGACGGCCGTTTCGGCCTGGTATGGGACTCATCAGCAGTGCGCACCTACGACTCCTGCACCTCGCAGGATTCGAACACAGGACCTTCGGTATTGTGCGCGAACGCCCTAACCGTTAGACTACTGAGCCGGTATCCAATGGTGTGAATGTCTAACTTGATCAAATTCACGGAGTCGCGCAACCTCATACCCTGTATACATCCGAACAGGTTGAACTTCACTGGTAACGACTTCCCACTAGAACTAGGAGAAGATTCCTCACGAAGCTAGTCACTAGTGGACACATGTAATTGCATTGCGGGGTGGTTGTGAAGATTGTTAAGTTTTATTTGTAACCATGAATCGAAACGGCCGTCCAGTGCTTCCAGGTTTCTAATGGTGGTCTAACATTGATCGATTCATGGGTACAAATAAAAAGGTATTATTGTCTAACTCTGATATATCTAGAGATTTCGTGCAACCTCATGATCAATTCACGATGTCAATGTAAAACAATGATCTCCATAACTCTTTGATAAAAAAATCATAAAATGCGCACACTAGTGACTAGCTTCATGAGAAAATTCTCGGAATCCTAATGAGAAGCCATGATCAGTGGAGTTCAACCCCTTTAGGTGTAGGCAGTAAATACCGAAGGCAATGGATGTGATCACCAATTATTGTAGATTGGTCGAAGTTAGATATTACACCATTGAATGCCGGCTCAATGGTCTAGAGGTTAAACGTTCGCTCTTAAGAACGAAAGTCCTAAGTTCGATTCCTGAAAGTAGCAGAAGTCGTAGATGAGCACTGCTGATGAATAAGATAATACAAGGAAACGGCCATACAGTACTTCCAGATTTCTAATGATGGTCTAACAATAATCCATTCATGATGTCATTGTAAAATAACACATCAGAAAATGTAGCACAGTTAAACAAATTATTCAGTTATACAATCAATCTACTTAAGAGAAGTTCAGAAGTCTTTTTTTTAAAAATGATATTACATATCAGAACTATAAGTCATCAAAAAAGGAAATAGAATTTTTGTTCAACTAATTATTAATTTTGCAGTAAACTTATTTTATGCACTTTTAGTCATGTAACTTGACTATTGAACAATATGAGTTGATTTGTTTGTTTATTTTGTAGTGAACGAGAACACAGTTGGGGCAACCGGATTGTATTTAACGAAAATTACACAGTTACTCAGTAAAATCGGAAAACCATATCGTAAACGGTTAATTTGCAAAATATCAGTTCATCATATTGATCTGGACTGTTCCTGTTCCAAAACATCAATCCATTGTCACTACTCATGCGTTCCATAGAAATTCCATTGTGTTCTAACTCTTCCTTTCTTGATCTTCCCCCATCTTCTGCTGACAGACTTTACTTTAACACTCACGTCATATACTACTTATAGGTAGCTCGCACCACAATTTTACTGATTAACTCGTTTTGAATATTGTTTCTATCTTGGGTTGTAAGCTATATCAGCATAGTCTAATTGTTATCTGAAGTTTGATGAATTAATTGTACACGATAACTTTCTATGAACCTTTGTAATAGTCATTTGATTTTATACTATATGATATATGCTTCCAGGTTTCTAATGGTGGTCTAACATTGATCGATTCATGATTTCAAAAATGTGTAACTTAACAATCTTCACAACCCCGTAATGCAAATTACCTGTGCTCACTAGTCACTAGCTTCCTGAGGAATCTTCTACAAGTTCTAGTGGGAAGACGTGACCAGTGAAGTTCAACATGTTCGGGTGTAGTCAGTGTCTACCGAAGACTGTTTATGAGGTTGCGCAACTCCGTGAATTTGATCAAGTTAGACATTAACACCGTTGGATACCGGCTCAGTGGTCTAACGGTTAGGGCTTTCGCGCACAATACCGAAGGTCCTAGGTTCGAATCCTGTGGGGTGCAAGAGTCATGGATGCGCACTGCTGATGAGTCTCATACCAGGACGAAACGTCCGTCCAGTGCTTCCAGGTTTCTAATGATGGTCTAACATCAATCGATTCATGGTTTCAAAAATGTGTAACTTAACAAACTTCCCAACCCCGTATTGCATATATGATATAAGTTGAATTGTTCTGTGTACTTATTATCAGGGTTTTTTTAAGTGAAGGTTTAATTTAATTTCTAGAGAATTAGGTAAATCTACGTCATGGAAAAAAGTTTATCTGTAGAATTAAAATTCATTCAAAAGTTTTGTTTATAAAAAATTACTTTATCTGAATAAACTGAGCTTTTAAATAGTAAATTTGTATATTATCGCGTTCAACAAAACTGTGTATTGATTTATAGTACCTTATATATATATATATATATATATATATATATATAATATCAGTGACTGATATCATTAAAACAACCAGAGAAAACCAAAAACCACTGGATAGATGTTTATTCCCAACATGAGACTCTTCATCAAGGTATATCTATGACATTAACTGCAGTCTGACACAAAACATAGAGATGACGCATGTGAACTCTCACACTTGAGATCACTAAGCTGACATCTAGTTGTGTACATGTTTAACTTCAGACATTTCGTGATGTATTTGATGACTAATTGATTCGCACTCGACATAGTTGAAATCCATCAGTCACAATTTTACTAATATGGTTTTAACTCAAATTAATATATGATAATTAACTATGATATTCGAAAAATCCACACAAATCTGTCATAGTGTAGTGAACGAGAACACAGGTGAGGGCAACCAAATTGTATTTAATGAAAATTACAGAGTTACTCAGTAAAATAGGAAAACCATATCGTAAATTGTTAATTTGCAAAATATCAGTTCATCATATCGAACTGGACTGTTCCTGTTGCAAAACATCAATCCATTGTCTGACATTTCACTATTCATTCGTTTCATACAAATTCCATTGTGTTCCCATTCTTTCTTTCTTGTTTGATCTTCCCTCATCTTCTGCTGCCAGACATTAAGTTGACACTCACGTCATATACTACTTATAAGTAGCTCGCACCACAATGGCAACTGAATGTTAAAATTTGAAAACCAATGACATGAAATAAATGAATTAAAATTAACTATCAAGGTTAAACGAGAACCTAATCATTCCATTTGTTGACTGAGTTAATGTTCAGTGATATATACCTTTACCAATGTACTTCAGTTTTATTAAATAGTTTCATAAACATTCACTGTCATGAAGTCGGTAACTAGCGATCAGAAAATTAATTCGTAGAGACTTGTAATTGACCGTAAGCACAAATCATATCGACCATTCTAGTCAGTGAATTTACAATGATTATATATTACTCAATGAATCGATTAATGTCTAGAATCACTACACTAATTTCATACAATATTTCCTATCTTATAGACCTTTTTCACTGTCTACTATATACAATTTATGTTATTAGTGAAGTATCATTCGCTTTTCACTTGGTTTATTTGGCCGACGCAATCCAGAACAATGCTGGATATTTTCTTCAATTTTTTGCATTTTCTAAGAAGTATTCATGTTAGGGACGCTAGATTCCCAGAATTCACTTGATAAATGTCCTAAATTTGGATTTTATTCATGGGCTGATCGGTTGACCTTGAAATCACATTTCCTACCAGGAAAATCCTCGGTTGTGATTGGCTGATGTGTTATTTTAGTACACTATTTTTGTCATTCTCTCAAGGACGTTGCTGTGATGTATAAATAAACGCGATTTGTGTGCTTCAGATCATTGCATTTTCTGGGTGTTTGTAGAATACACTTTCTACACCACCTCAAAACTTTTTCTTCAGTTAGTTTGGGGCAACGGATCAGAGTAGCCAACCGTGTCACTTGTTCATTGTCTCTTTCTCGTTTATCGACTCAGGTGAACTCGTAATAGTTTCAAGCATATCAAATGACAAGCATAACGATTCACTAATAGAACCAAGAGTTAGGACTGATGTGGAAACATGATAAAATAAGTAATGAATGAGTCCTTCTTATTT